TTTTTTATTTAAAACACCCTATCATTTTCCCCCTAATTCTACGCCTTTCTAAAGAGTGCAGATTCAGGGCCCTCAGTCTATCCTCATAGGGAAGATTTCTGATACATGGGATCAACTTCGCCATCCTCCTTTGTACGTTTTTCCAGTGCATTTACATGTATATCCATTTTGTAATACGGTGACCAGAACTGTGCAGTATAATGTAGATGAGCCTAACCAAAGATATATAGAGTAGAAAAACAAGCTGAGGACTTCTGTTATTTATACTTCTTGATATGAAGCCAAGGATTCTGTTAGCTTTATTACGAACACTTATGCACTGTTGTCTTGGTTTCAGGTTACTGCTAACCAGAATTTCTAAATCCTTTTTGCAATCAGTAATATGTATTAAGATCTACATTATTTAGTTTATATGTGGCATGGTTATTATCCTTTCCAACATTTAGAACTTTGCATTTGTCTATATTAAACTGCATCTGCCACTTCTCCAACCATTGCGTCAGTCTATTTAAATCATCCTGGAGTCCTCTGATGTCCTCATTAGAATGAATTGGACAGCCTATTTTGGTGCCATCAGCAAATTTGCTTATGTCACTTAAATTACTGTGTGGGATAATAATCAAGAATTTTCCTGGCTAGAGACTCGTCTGTGTTCTAGTAGCTGTTGTTTTGGTTGAAGTTGTTTGATGTACTGATTCCTGATAATTCCAGAGTCTTGCATTTTGAAATGTCTTTCTCTTTGACAATGAGTTGTGTGCTCTGGTAAAGTGGTTTTGGGATTTTCCCTGTGAAACAGACTTTCATGTGGTCCATTCTGCTGGCATATTCAGTTCAGTAATGTTTGTATGGAGGTCTCTTCATGTTTCTCCCACATATATTTGGTCATAGTTGTTGCAAAGGATTGTGTATACCCCTGCCATAGTTTGACCTTGTTGGTGTATCCCTTAGTGGTCATGTTCCTAATTGTTGCGGAGGTAGTAGTGGATACCTGGAATTTGATACTAGAGACGTGTTTAACCCGTAAACGGTCCAAGGAGATCTACGTTCACATGTGTAGTGTTACAAAAGTAGATTACGTTTTTTTTTACGTATTTTCAAATATAACAAAAAAAAAAAGTAGATCAAAGTTTTTTTTTACACATTTTCAAATGTAAAAAACAAAAAGAAGATCTACCTTTTTTTACATACTTTCAAATGTTGAAAAAACGTATATATACGTTTGGACCGTTTATGGGTTAAGAGTAGAGTTGTTATGGTGGACTATGTATCTTTTTTTGATGGTGTCTCATCTGTGTTAGTTAAAAATTTTGTGTACATAAAGCTTGCATTCTCTGATAAAATGAACAAGGTTGTTGTGTGAAGGCATTATCTCACCTTTCAAGGGTGGTGACTAGTGCCTTGATGTTTCTTAAGAGCTGTTAATTCAATGAATTGGAGCTACCTTCTTCCTAGGGTTGAACTTGATTAGCTCCCATTCTCTGGGGGCTGCATACCCTTACAGGTTTAGTATTTTCCCAGAAATACAATAATAATATTAATAATAATAGCATTTTTCTCAAAAGTAATTATTTTGAATTGTAGAGTACACTATATTTTTGTATTATTAAAAAGTTGTTTCTGTACTTAATGAACATTTGTTAGTTTTTTTAGAAATGTGAAAAAGATGCTTATCCTCCAGATAAACAGAAGTAAATCTGCTGTTAAAATTTCTTTTTAAGTGTAATTGATTAACTATTGCAAAATAAAATGACTAATTATTGTATAAGTGACTTATACCTAAGACTGAAGTGCCTAATATGGTTAGAGCTTGGGAAAAAAATAGAAAACACCTCAAATTGATATTTTAAATCAAACATAAGGTTAAAAGTTAGCAGTGTTCAATCATGCACTGCTTGGGGCAGGAATTTGCTTTATACCCTGCAAATCCACTGTACAGACCGATTCTCTCCGCATCTTGACTAAAACTCCAGGTAAACCCCAGCAAAATTTGAGGGTACTATGATTTATGATGCAACACTGACTCCAATAACTTAGATCTAAAACAAAGTAAGAGGACACAAGTGCAACTAAAGTTGCACATGTGTTGATGTAGTATACACAGACTTTACAAAAGCCTTCAACAAGTGTAACCAGGGGTAATAGGCACAAAGTGCGTGATAAAGAAATAACAGGAAAAGTTGATAGATTCATCTATAACTTACTAACAAATAGAACACAAATAGTAATAGTAAACATAAAGTCTGAGGCAGCTACGGAGAAACGCTCTGTCCACAAGGCACAGTACCCCGCTCCCATCCTATTCCTCATCCCCATATCTGACACAGAGATGTAAGCCATAGCCTGTGTCTTCCTTTGTGGATGACACCTGAATTGCCATTGACAGTGTCCTCCATTGAAGACACCTCAAGACTTCAAGCAACCCTCAAGCAGATCTTCAAATAGGCCACTCAAAACAAAATGAAGTTCAATGAAGAGAAATTTTAACTACTCCCGATATGGAAAACTTGAGGGGAAATTAAAACTGTATCAAGGTATACAGCAAATTCTAACCATACAATAGAGCGAAAAAGTAATGTGAAAGACCTGGGAGGGATAATGTCAGAGGGTCTCACCTTCAAAGACTACAACAATGTATCTACCACACCTGCTACAAAATGACAGGATGGATAATGAGAACATTCAGAACTAGGGGCACCAAGCCCATATGATTCTTTTCAAATTACTTGTTCTCTCTAGGCTTGAATACGCTTTTCACAAACTGCCCCCTTCAAGGGCGGGCAAAATTGCAGACCTGGAGACTTTTTCCAAGAACTTTAAATGGTACACAAAAGTACAAATGAAGAAACCAAATTTAACGGGAAAAGGGAATTAAGGGCCCTTAAATTTGTATTCCCTGGAAGGGTAGGCGAGAGAGAGGGCAGGGATGATACTTTAAAAAATTTGGGGAAAAATCCTAGGGGGAATTAGAAACCAAACTTGCACATGAAAATCACCCCCCCTATGAAAGAAAAAGACTGGGCCCAGGAATGCAACATTCCCCCAATAAAAGCAGGGGTGCCATGAGCACATCGGAGACAATACAATAAGTTGGGAACCCAAGACTGTTCAGCTGCCTCCCAACATACATAAGGGGGTTTAAACCAAATATCCCTGGTGTCTTCAAAAAGGGGCGGGGACAGGCACCTAAAGCAACCCTAACCAGCCGGCTGTAGTTCGTACCCCAGTTTGTGTCAGCCAAGGGGTAACTGCCTGGTTGATCAAAAACCCCCGATCCACCACAAAGGTCTGGTCTCAGATCGGGCCGGGGGGGCCTTGCCCCCCAAAAACCCCCTCTCCAGGTAAAACCCAGGTAATTGAAATTTTTATTTTGGCACTTTTTTCAGTCTCCAGAACTTAGTAAAGCCTTTTAAACAAAGCCCCCGGGAGAGTGAAATTTGCCAAATAAAAAAACTTATTAGCTAAACGGTGCCCTTTTTACTTAACAATTGTGGGAAATTTTTGTCTTTATTGAGTAAAAAAACTAGAAAAGAGACACTGAAAGTGTTAACAGATACAGGGGAAACCCCCCGAATTTCATTTTTAAATTTTCGTTCCAGAAGGCATTCTAAATCTGAAACGAAAAGAAAACCAAAGTAATATTTCCCATAAAAAAATTTAATTAAATCCAATAAATTTCCATACCAAAACCCCCAAAAAATTTTCCCACAAAAAATTCTTTTTTTTAAAAGAAAAAACTATTTTTACAATACAGAAAAATGAAAATAAATATAAATCACTATTTTTTAAAGATAAATAAAACATTACATACCTCTGTTGAAAAACTCTTGCTGGCATATTGAAGAAGGCAAGAAGAGGGGAGAGAGTTGGGGTTTTATTTTTGGAAGGGGAACCCCCCCTCCATGGGCTTCGGGGTATCAAAGCCCCTTTTGGGGTTTTTATTTTCCCCTTCTTTGTTTTTTTAACTGGAAACTGGACCCCCTGTTCACAAAAAAATCTGCCCCAGAGAGCTTTTTTTTTTCTGGCGCCCTTTTTAAGATTTGCCAAAAAATGGGCCCAAGGGTTTTGCCCAGTGAAAAATTTTGGCAGAAAAGGGCTTGTATCACTATGTCAGGGTGACTTTTTTCCAACAAAATTTAAAAAAACATTCCCCCTTTGTACACATGTCCTTAATCACTGAAAAAGGGGCCACCTTATCCTCTCCCCTCATTTCCCCTCTGAACAATTTCCTCACTCGGGCCCTTTTGCTGCCCCAGATGAAGGTTTGCAGCTCTTAAGTGGTTACTCTTCCCCGTGGGCCCCCCACCAATTCTTCCACATCCTGGCCACCACCTCCAACCCCATGGACTTCCCCAAAAACACAATACATTTCCCCACACCATAGGTTTTACAGGGTCACCTCAAAAAACCCCTTTAAAATCTTTTTCGAGGGCACATTCTTGCCACAATTTTCTCCAAGCAGATTCAAAGTCCTTGGGAAATCACTTTCCCGGCCCTAAGGCTTATGCCCAAAGGAGAATTGAAGTGATCCCTCCAGAACTGGGCTTAGGGTCAATTCAGTGGGCCGAGGTCACTTTAGAGCAAACCCTTTTAAAAATTGCTTTGTGGAGAGTTTTTTGAAATTTTGAAATGACATGATGGTCCATGGGCTGGAGAGAGGAGTGGTGTTAGGAGGGAAGAACTACCCCTTTTTACGAAAAATGAAGTCCCTAAATAATTGTTTCCCCCGTCTGGAGGATAGCAAAGCATTGTCCATTTCCCGGAGGCACTTTGAGTGACAATTTAAATTTTTCCCGGGGGTTTTTTTTCACACTCGGGCCAAACACTTCATGGACCCCCCGGCAATGAAAAATTTTCCTCGGCCCATGCTTTTAAATTTTTAGCTTTCCACAACAAAGCAAAAAATTTGCTCTTGATGACATTTTTTTTTCTTAAAAACACTGGATTTTCGAAAGGAAAACACCAGTAAAGGCTTTACTTTGAAATACCCCCCCAGTGTTTTCCACAGAACAAAAGAGTTAGCCTATTCTTCATAGGGTTGTGTCCTGGGGAGTGCCTTTTTCCCCCCCTGATGATGTAGGTCCCCCTTTAAAATTTTTTTCCAAAAGAGGCCGTTTTGTCAAAATTTTATCACTTGTTTTAGGGAGGAATCCCTTCCCCCTTTTATGTACCCTTTTAAATTTATTTAAAGAAATTTTTTTCGGCACCACTTTGTCTGAAAATTTTGGGAGCCTCACCAAAAGCCCTTTCAATAAATGTGAAGCCAAATATCTTCTTTAATCTGTCGAACCAGCGTCTGCTGGGCCCTTAAAATTTCCCAAAAAGCATACTCAATTTTTCCCGGGGATTTTTTTTTAAAGAGAAACCCATGAACGGGCCCTTTCCTTTTTTGCAAATGACGACCCCTTTTCCCCCAAAAAAATTTGGGTTTTTCCCCCTAAATTTTTTCCCGTTGATCCCCCAAACCCAAAAACAACTTTTTTCCCCATCTTTGATCATTTGCATCCTGCTTTTGTTGGGAAATTTTTTCCCTTTTCGCAACTTTAGCTTTCCTTTATTTCTACACACTTTGCCAGGGGAACGACTGTTGAAATTTTTACTTCCCATCCCCGGCAAACTTGGCTTTAAAAGTACAAACCCCTTTTGTATTTCTCAAAAATCTCTTTTTTGAATTCTATCATGTTTTTCACTTTTTTTACCAAAGGGCTGGCACTAGGAACTTTCTTTGGGCCCATGGTGGCTTATTTCAAAGTCACAATCAATAAACAAGCACAAAAATTGCGAAATGTTTTGGAAGAATGCTCACTCAACCAGCGACAAAGCCAGACTGACGCCATTCCCTGGTGGGCAGACGCATCTCATACGCACGATTCCCGGGACAAGGTACGAAATCTGGAACAAAATTTTGCCTAGAAAAGTGTTCTAAATCCAAAATGTCCGATATCCAGTTCATACGAAATCCTGGGTTCCACTGTATCTTGATTGCTTTCAAGGATTGAAGATGTTAAAGAGTTACTTGAAATTTATTAAAAAAAATTCCTCATCCTAGAATGGCTATTACAAGGTTATTTTAATTTTTCTTCTTGCTTGCACTGGGAAATATGTGGCAAGAATAATGATTACCGTACCCAAACTATTACAGTAAATAGAAGTGGAGAAAATAGGAATATAGAAAGAGGAAAAGACAGACAACTTCAGGTAACAAAATTAAATTGCTGTAAACACTATCTGTTCATATTCTGTATGAGAAATAATCTTTCCTTATACAGTGGACCCCCGCATAACGATTTTAATCCGTGCAAGAGGGGTAATTGTTATGCGAAATAATCGCTATGTGAATGAATTTTCCCCATAAGAAATAATGGAAATAAAATTAATCCGTGCAAGACACCCAAAAGTATGAAAAAAAAAATTTTTTACCACATGAAATGTTAATTTTAATACACACAAACTGAAAAAGGCATGCACACTTACATGACGCTTACTTTTATTGAAGATCTGGTGATGATTGATGGGATGGGAGGAGGGGAGAGAGAGTGTTAGTGTTTAGAAGGGGAATCCCCTTCCATTAAGACTTGAGGTGGCAAGTCCTTTTCTGGGGTTACTTCCCTTCTTCTTTTAATGCCACTAGGACCAGCTTCAGAGTCACTGGACTTCTTTCGCACAACATATCTGTCCATAGTGGCCTGTACCTCTCGTTCCTTTATGACTTCCCTAAAGTGTTTTCACAACATTGTCAGTGTAATAATCACCAGCACGGCTTGCAATAGCTGTGTGAGGGTGATTTTCATCCATGAAGGTTTGCGCTTCAAGCCACTTTGCACAGATTTCCTTTATCTTTGTAGTAGGCAACTTCTTCAATTTCTCTCTCCCCTCCTCTGAACCATTTTCCCTCAGGTCTGGCCTCTTGCTGTTGAAGTTGATCTATCAGCTCATCAGTGGTTAGTTCTTCATTGTCCTCCTCCACCAACTCTTCCACATCCTCCCCACTAACCTCCAACCCCAAGGACTTTCCCAATGCCACAATGGATTCCTCAACTGGAATAATCCTCTCAGGGTTAGCCTCAAACCCTTCAAAATCCCTTTTGTCTACACATTCTGGCCACAGTTTCTTCCAAGCAGAGTTCAAGGTCTTCTTAGTCACTCCCTCCCAAGCCTTACCTATAAGGTTTACACAATTGAGGATATTAAAGAGCTCTCTCCAAAACTCTCTTAGAGTCAGTTGATTTTCTGAGGTCACTACAAAGCACCTTTCAAACAGAGCTTTTGTGTACAGTTTTTTGAAGTTTGCAATAACCTGCTGGTCCATGGGCTGCAGGAGAGGAGTGGTATTAGGAGGCAAAAACTTCACCTTAATGAAGCTCATGTCCCCATAAAGTCGCTCTGCCACGTCTGTAGGATGACCAGGGGCATTGTCTAACACCAGGAGGCACTTAAGGTCTAATTTCTTTTCAGTTAGGTAATCTTTCACATTGGGGGCAAATGCATGGTGTAACCAGTTATAGAAAAAGTCCCTAGTGACCCATGCCTTACTGTTTGCCCTCCACAGCACACACAAATTATCCTTGAGGACATTCTTTTGCCTGAATGCTCTGGGAGTTTCAGAGTGATACACTAATAAAGGCTTAAAATTTGCAATCACCACTAGCATTGGCACACATCAACAAAGTAAGCCTGTCTTTCATAGGCTTATGTCCTGGGAGTGCCTTTTCCTCCTGAGTAATGTAGGTCCTGCTTGGCATTTTCTTCCAGAACAGGCCTGTTTCATCACAATTAAACACTTGTTCAGGTTTCAGTCCTTCACTGTCTATGTACTCCTTGAATTCCCGCACATATTTTTCAGCCGCTTTGTGGTCCGAACTGGCAGCCTCACCATGCCTTATCACACTATGGATGCCACTACGCTTCTTAAATCTCTCAAACCAACCTTTGCTGGCCTTAAATTCACTCACATCATCACTAGTTGCAGGCATTTTTTTAATTAAATCCTCATGCAACTTCCTAGCCTTTTCACATATGATCGCTTGAGAGACGCTATCTCCTGCTAGCTGTTTTTCATTTATCCACACCAATAAGAGTCTCTCAACATCTTCCATCACTTGCGATCTTTGTTTCGAAAACACAGTTAAACCTTTGGCAAGAACAGCTTCCTTGATTGTCTTTCTGGTGCCCACAATAGTAGCGATGGTTGATTGGGGTTTCTTGTACAACTTGACTAGGTCGGCGATACGCACTCCACTTTCATACTTATCAATGATCTCTTTCTTCATTTCAATTGGAATTCTCACCCTTATTGTGTACGGTTGGCACTAGAAGCTTTCTTGGGGCCCATGGTCACTTATTTTCCAGAAACAGCACCGAAAACACTGTAATAATACGAAATATTCCGAGTGTATGCTTGGATGTTACCGCGGAGGCTGGCTGGTAAACAATGGCACGGGCGGCACATGTGAGGCTGGCTGAGGGCGCACATTGGACGCGTCTCGGACGAAAATCGGTGAGCGGGTTTTTAATCGGTATGCGCGGCAAAATTTTTGCGATTAAAGCAAGCGGTATGCGGATTAATCGCTATGTGATGCCATCGTTATGCGGGGGTCCACTGTATGCCTTGAAATGTTGAAAACTTGAATCCTTGTAGTTTTAGCCAATTTATTTAATTTAAAAGTATAATTTTTTAATGAAAGTGATTTGGCATTATTAGTGTACCTAACAAATATGTTAAATTATTTAAAATGTTAACATTTCTTTGTGAATGTCTTCCTGCATATAATTTTTACTGTACAGTATTATTAAATACAGTGGAACCCTGGATTTTGGCCGTAATCCGTTCCAGAAGGTTGGCCTATATCCGAAAAGGCTGAAAACCGAAGTTATATTTCCCATGAGAATTAATGTAAATACAATTAATCTGTCGCAGACACCCAAAAATATTAACAAAAAATACATTTTTTAAAGATTTTCTATAGTTTTACATACAGAAAACAATGAGAAATAAACATAAAGCACAAATTTTAATGATAAATGAACATTATGTACCTTTATTGAAGACTCTTGTTGGCATATTGAAGAAGGTGAGGAGAGGAGAGGAGAGGAGAGGGAGTTGAAGATATTGTTTGGAAGGGGACTCCCCTTCCATAAGTACTTCAGGTATCAAGTCCCTATCCAGAGTTAATTCTCTTCTTTGTCTTTTACTGGCACTAGGACCAGCTTGAGAGTCACTGCACCCCTGTCGCACAAAAAAACTGTCCAGAGAGGTCCGTTTCTGGCGTCTCTCTAAGATTTGCCTGAAGTGAGACAAGGCTTTGTCACTGAATTCTATCGTGTTTCTCACTTTCTTTACCAAAGGGCTGGCACTAGGAACTTTCTTTGGGCCCATGGTGGCTTATTTTGCAGACGCACTCGATGAACAACCACAAAAAACAATGGATTATAACGAAATGTTTGGGTGAATGGGTGGAGTGTTGCTCACTCACCCGGAGACATAGCCAGACTGACTCATGAATGTGGCGGAGTGGCGGACAGATGCATCTAATACGGCTGATTTCCGAGTTGCCGGCCAAAATCCAGGGTAGAATTTCGGCCATAAAAGTGGCCAAAATCTGATTTGGCCGATATCCACATCGGCTGATGTCCGGGGGTCCACTGTATACGTAAACTTATCGTAATAAAATAGTTCATTTATTTATTTATTTCATTTTGAAAATTATCTTTTTTAATTATTCTAACTTTGTAAATAATTTGTTCTTACAGTTTAAAAAATATTATTATTATTATTATATACTATTTTTTGTTAGGATGAACGTGACTTAATTATTCACTAACTTTATTGGCTGCTCAAAAATTTCAAATAGTTTAATCTAAAAAGTAATATTATTTTGAGTATTGTCTTAATCATTATTTTTTTTTAAATTGTGACTCAGCCCTTACATCAACATTCTATTTCCAGTATGGAAATTCCAGTTTACATTGTAGACCTTGATCTTCCTCCGCTCCAGCGCTGGGCACCACTCATGAAAGATAAGGGCCCTCTGGTAAGGAAGTGGCACTTTTAAATAAATTATCATTTTATCTTTTTATAATACAGTAGGCAGTCAGATAACATGCAATCTGTTAGCACGTTTTCAGTAAAGTACAGTTGCAAAATTGTGGCGTATTTTCAATGACCATGCCATAAAAATCAGTTTACGTGTGGGAAATACGTGTAGGGGAAAATGTGCTGGGTGTTGTGTTCTTTCGCATCCATCTCACTGTGAGGCTAGTGGGTGGGAGTGTGAGAGCCAGTGAGTGAAGACAGGATACAAGGTGAAGAAGGGTGAGTGATGTTCCAAGAGTAGGGGTGAGAGTGGTACACAGGGGCATGCTGCTACTGCTGCTCCACATTCTTTTCACCTGTTTTATGTATCATGTGGCACTGGTGTGGGGATGGGTAGAGGCAGGTGGATGATCACCACCTACACCAGGCCGCTAACAACCATGTCTTTCACTTGCACAACTTCCCTACAGCTTTTGACCCACATAACTCACTTCTACACCCTTCCCATTCTTTCACTTACACCACTTCCTCACAGCTTCTAACTCACAAAACCCTACTCCCACACCTTACCCATACTTTCACAGATCACAGTTCCTAACACAACACTTACACACCTATTCATGTAGCCACTCACCACCCTAATCACCACCCACCCAGTCACCATCATCCACACTGCTATCCACACCACCACCCACACTGGGCCAACAACACTGCCGCTCACATGATCACTATATCACACCGCTTTGTTGCTTCCAGCCTCCAGCTCCACACCCCTCTACTGGCCAACATCCTTCACTTCCCAATACCATTCTTTAGTTCCTGCCTCCACCCCTCCATCATTTGGTCTCCACCTTCCAGAACAGCAGTCCTCTAATCCCCTCCCTTCCCATTGTTCCCCACCCTAACACTGAACCCACTCACCCCAGCCACTATAACTCCTTCCATGGACACCCCAACCTCTCTAACCCCTTCTTTATAACCCTTTACAGTTCAGTGCACAGGACAACTAAACAATCTGTCTGCTATCACAGATGTAGGTGCAATCTTTGATTGATGCTTATCACTACATTAACCTACATTTACATTATCATTTTTTTTTTAAATTTTGAGACCTTTAAAAATATTTGGATGGCATTTTTGTATGGATCCAGTGACCATAACCTTTTTTCCCATATGTTCTGCAGTTCAGTTTACGTGCATTATCTGACAGTCAACTATGATTCTAAATATTTAGGATGACTAAACACAGTTTGTGTGTATCTGTGTTCTTAAACAGCTTTAGATGCTCCCTCATAATTATGATGCACTAATCATAGCTGTATTCATTCACTGTGTCCTGATCTCCAATCTTTTTCACAAATTTTTTTTTCAGAAGTCCTGAGAAACCACAGCATTTCTCCCTTCACCTTTTCACACACCTCAGACATTATTTTCATACTCTGTTTAAATAATGCTTCTTAAAGACAAAACTACCAAATAATCTGTTGTGTTGATAGAAAGGAGAGTGACAATGAACAACATAGGTCCTCTCCAGAAAATAGTTTTACAACATAAGAAATGAAACACAAGGAGTATATAATACACAATGACTTGGATTTTTTCAAATACATTGTTTATCGTGCAGTCTTTTGCATGGTATGTTCACCTCAGAAGAACAAAAGATATGATAGAAACATGAGCTGAGCACTTGGGCCATTAGCAATGCAGTTCAACTTTAGAACAAACACATCAGTGAAGCCATATTTTATTAACACATCAGCCATTTCCCACCGAGGCAGGGTGGCCCAGAAAAGAAGAAACACTTTCACCATGACTCACTCCATCACTGTCTTGCCAGAGGTGCATTGACACTACAGTTCAAAAACTGTAACACATCTCCACCTCTCCTTCAGAGTGAAGCTACATGATCCCTTAACCCTTAAACTGCCCAAACGTAGATCTACGTTTGCGCATGTAGCGCTCCGACCTTGATTTTCTCCATAAGAAACAATGTAAAAAAATGTAGATCTATGTTCGGAGCGCTACGCAAGCAAACGTAGATCTATGTTTGGACAGTTTAAGGGTTAAAAAGGTTGAGGTGTTCCAAACCTGCTTGTAAAAGTTCTATGTTGGTTAAAAATTAATAGAGTAGAAAGTGGGTGGCTTGCAATATCATGTGAGAGGTCAATTTAGATAACATCTACTGTAATTTGCAGTGCTGAATGACCCCCTCATAGTTTTACCCCATTTTTAATATAATAATAATTTACTGCCTAGGTAGTAGGATGGTAGACAGCAACCACCCAGGGAGGTACTACCGTCTTGCCAAGTGAGTGTGAAACTGAAACCTGTAATTGTTTTACATGATAGTAGGATTGCTGGTGTCTTTTTTTCTGTCTCATAAACATGCAAGGTTTCAGGTATGTCTTGCTACTTCTACTTACACTTAGGTCACTCTACACATGCATGTACAAGCATATACGAGTTTAATCCATTCCGTGACCTTGCTCGCATCTGTATTTGCTCGTTTGCAGAGTCAATTTTCCTCATTTAAATTAACTGAAATGCAATTAATCCATTCCCGCCTCTCAGGAGGCATGACAAGATACAGTGGACCCCCGCATAGCGAACTTAATCCGTGCAAGAGGGCTGGTCGTTATGCGAAATGTTCGCTATGCGAATTAATTTTCCCCATAAGAAATAATGGAAATAAAATTAATCCGTGCAAGACACCCAAAAGTATGAAAAAAAAATTTTTTTACCACAAAAAAATGTTAATTTTAGTACACACAAACTGAAAAAGGCATGCACAATTACATGACACTTACTTTTATTGAAGATCTGGTGATGATTGATGGGATGGGAGGAGGGGAGAGAGAGTGTTAGTGTTTAGAAGGGGAATCCCCTTCATTAGGACTTGAGGTAGCAAGTCCTTTTCTGGGGTTACTTCCCTTCTTCTTTTATGCCACTAGGACCAGCTTCAGAGTCACTGGACTTCTTTCGCACAACATATCTGTCCATAGTGGCCTGTACCTCTCGTTCCTTTATGATTTGTCTAAAGTGGTTCACAACAGTGTCATTGTAACAGTCACCAGCACGGCTTGCAATAGCTGTGTGAGGGTGATTTTCCATCAAAAAAGGTTTGCACTTCAAGCCATTTTGCACACATTTCCTTAATCTTTGAAGTAGGCAATTCCTTCAATTTCTCTCTCCCCTCCTTTGAACCAGTTTCCCCAGGTCTGGCCTCTTGCTCTTGAAGTTGATCTATCAGCTCATCAGTGGTTAGTTCTTCATTGTCCTCCTCCACCAACTCTTCCACATCCTCCCCACTAACCTCCAACCCCAAGACTTCCCCAATTCCACAATTGATTCCTCAACTGGTATACTACTCCTCTCAGGGTTAGCCTCAAACCCTTCAAAATCCCTTTTGTCTACACATTCTGGCCACAGTTTCTTCTTCCAAGCAGAGTTCAAGGTTCTCTTAGTCACTCCCTCCCAAGCCTTACCTATAAGGTTTTACACAATTGAGGATATTAAAGTGATCCTTCCAAAACTCTTTTAGAGTCAATCGAGTGTCTGTGGTCACTTCAAAGCACTTTTGAAACAGAGCTTTTGTGTACAGTTTCTTGAAGTTGGAAATGACCTGCTGGTCCATGGGCTGCAGGAGAGAGTGGTATAGGAGCAAAAACTTCACCTTAATGAAGCTCATGTCCCCATAAAGTCGCTCTGCCACGTCTGTAGGATGACCAGGGCATTGTCTAACACCAGGAGGCACTTAAGGTCTAATTTCTTTTCAGTTAGGTAAACTTTCACATTGGGGGCAAATGCATGGTGTAACCAGTTATAGAAAAATTCCCTAGTGACCCATGCCTTACTGTTTGCCCTCCACAGCACACACAAATTATCCTTGAGGACATTCTTTTGCTGAACGCTCTGGGAGTTTCAGAGTGATACACTAATAAAGGCTTAACTTTGCAATCACCACTAGCATTGGCACACATCAACAAAGTAAGCCTGTCTTTCATAGGCTTATGTCCTGGAGTGCCTTTTCCTCCTGAGTAATGTAGGTCCTGCTTGGCATTTTCTTCCAGAACAGGCCTGTTTCATCACAATTAAACACTTGTTCAGGTTCCAGTCCTTCAGTTTCTATGTACTCCTTGAATTCATGCACATATTTTTCAGCCGCTTTGTGGTCCGAACTGGCAGCCTCACCATGCCGTATCACACTATGGATGCCACTACGCTTCTTAAATCTCTCAAACCACCCTTTGCTGGCCTTAAATTCACTCACATCAATCACTAGTTGCAGGCATTTTTTAATTAAATCGTCATGCAACTTCCTAGCCTTTTCACATATGATCGCTTGAGAGACGCTATCTCCTGCTAGCTGTTTTCATTTACCCACACCAATAAGAGTCTCTCAACATCTTCCATCACTTGCGATCTTTGTTTCGAAAACACAGTTAAACCTTTGGCAACAACAGCTTCCTTGATTGCCGTTTTCTTGCCCACAATAGAAGCGATGGTTGATTTTGGTTTCTTGTACAACCTGACCAGGTCGGTGATACGTACTCCACTTTCATACTTATCAATGATCTCTTTCTTCATTTCAATGGGTATTCTTACCCTTTGAGGTGTAGGGTTGGCACTAGAAGCTTTCTTGGGGCCCATGGTCACTTATTTTCCACAAACAGCACCGAAAACACTGTAATAATACGAAATATTCCGAGTGTATGCTTGAATGTTACCGCGGAGGCTGGCTGGTAAACAATGGGACGGGCGGCACATGTGAGGCTGGCTGAGGGCGCACATTGGACGCGTCTCGACGAAGGTCGCTGAGCGGGTTTTTGTCCACTATGCGGGCAAAATTTTAGCGAACAAAGCGTTCGCTATGCGGATTGTTCGCTATGCAAGGCGTTCGCTATGCGGGGGTCCACTGTACTTCAAAACTTCGCTAATATCATCTATACGGCTTATTTATCTGTCACAATTCATCTAATATGACATAATAAACAATGTATTAAAAGAAACCTGATATATACTCTAGAATGAATAAAATGTGTCATTCATGTAGTGGTATGGGCGGCGTCGGCAGTGGATGAGAGTTTGTCTGGAGACAGGACAAAATACTCCTTGAATAATTTCGTTAATATCAACTCTACGGCTTATTTATCTGTCACAATTCATCTAATATGACATAATAAACAACATAAATAACATAGAAACTTGATATATACTCTAGAATGGATAAAATATGTCATGTGACAGGTGGAGGTGGCCACAACCACTCCCACATTGTTGTGGTAAACACTGCCATCTAGTGACGGCCTTTTGAAGCCGTCTATTATTATAATTATTATTATATAGTGCGTTATTATTATACATGTATTATTTTTTTTTTTAACAAGTCAGCCGTCTCCCACCGAAGCAGGGTGACCCAAAAAGAAAGAAAACCCCTAATAAGAACATACTTTGATCACCATTCAGCACTTTCACCTCGCTCATATGTATATGCTTCTAAACTGTTGTATTCTGAACACCTCTGCAAAAACAGTGATTATGCTGTTTTTCCAGAGGTGCTCAGAATACAACAGTTTAGAAGTTTTTTTTTTTTTTTGTTTTAACAAGTCGGCCGTCTCCCACCGAGGCAGGGTGACCCAAAAAGAAAGAAAATCCCCAAAAAGAAAATACTTTCATCATTCAACACTTTCACCTCACTCACACACAATCAGTGTTTTTGCAGAGGTGCTCAGAACACAACAGTTTAGAAGCATATACGTATAAAAATACACAATATATCCCTCCAAACTGCCAATATCCCAAACCCCTCCTTTAGAGTGCAGGCATTGTACTTCCCATTTCCAGGACTCAAGCCCGGCTATATAAAAATATCTGGTGTCCCTGAATCCCTTCACTAAATATTACCCTGCTCACACTCCAACAGATCGTCAGGTCCCAAATACCATTCGTCTCAATTTGTAATTTTTATTCACACAAAAAATAGAAGATTTACTTTTATGCAGACTACTGCATTATTGTAATAATTGTATAAATAATGTCAAACCATTTATAATTGCATATTAGAAAGGACAGTGATGTCATTTGTTTACTCTTGAACATTGCCAAAGAATCTAACATTTCTGCTACTTTGAGCTCAATTTCTAGGTACTTTTCATTGTGAAACCAATCAAAATTATATCTATTTTTGTAATGTATCTTCCATTCTATCAACTGAGACCATAAAAACCATACGATAATACTGCTAAGTGGCAGCTAATTGCCGAGAAGTGAACTCCATTATTTATGGTCTGATTTCTTTCATTTTTGGTGTACGTTAAGAAGCATCTTTCCATCATACATTGCCCAAGTTTCAATAAGATAGTTTAACAAACAAATGAGATCCACTTCCCTAGATCAAGAGCAAGAGCCCCTCACCAGTGTCAAGAAACCTCCCTTGAGGCCTGCTTGCTTGTGGTAATTTCTCTCGTGTATGGAAACAAAAAATAGACCAATCAACTGCAAGTATTTGGAAAAACTCGCACGTGGATGCGCTTGCAAGTGGAGGTTCCAATGTACTTGAACTTAATTCATTCCAGAAGTCTGTTTGAGTGCCGATCTGTTTGAGCACTGAACAGATTTTTCCTTACCAATTTTCTTTTTGGTTGGCTGTTATCACTAATCTTCTTAGGCCCCATGGTGACTTATTTATACAGAAAATATAAAAATATCACCAAAAAATATGAAGAAACAAGAAATAGTTTACAGCGAAGTCCTAGCAGTCGTGTTTGTTTGATCGAATGCCAAGCAAACAGTCAACTACTGAGTGATTTATTTTACTTAACAAAGCATTTGAATACTGAAATGTTCGAGTAGGGAGCTGTTTGAGTACTGAGGTTCCACTGTATATACATAGCCCATTGTGTTTTCTTCTATTTTCTTACCAGTTCTTGTTCTTGTTTATTTCTGCTTATATCCATGGGGAAGTGGAACAGAATTCTTCTTACATATGCCATGTGTGTCGTAAGAGGCAGCTAAAATGCCGGAGCAAGGGGCTAGTAACCCTTTCTCCTGTATATTTTATTAAATTTAAAGAGAAACTTTTGTTTTTCTTTTTGGGCCACCCTGCCTCTGTGGAATATGGCCAGTTTGTTGACGGAAGATAATTTGCTGTAATTCAGTTTCAGCAATGTTTGTTTACATTATTTTTCTAATGTGCTCTGTGTTTATTAAATTAAGATAGAAAATTTTTCAGCTTGTTGATTTGGTAGATGATGTCAAGATGCTCATCACGTCCCTAGTGGGAGAGAGAGTATTTGAGATAATCTTCAATAGTCTCTCCAAGGTAACTATCAGTGCACAGTTTCATGCATTCACATGTATAGTAATGGATTTTTCATAACAAAAATTATTTATAAGATCAGTTTTAATTATTATTTTTTTTTTTTTTTTGAGTAAAGATTGCTTCCTATTATTATACTGCATATTACAGCATATGTAAAATCTTAATGGGAAATATTGTATAGGATTGGATAGCAGTATAATGTATGCATATAAACAATCTCCTGATGGATAATTTTTGTTTTTGTTTCAATAGGTGGCTACCACCCTACCATATCCCTTCTATGAGGAGCTGGTAGGAATATCTGCATTCTCAGAATTGCCATTGAGCATTGTCACATTGTACAACATTTTCTATGAAGCATTAACACTCTGCACTTCTATTATTGCTCAGGATCCTAATGGGCAGTTGTATCATGGTAGAAATCTGGATACTGGAGTATTTCTGGGGTTTGTATTCTGTATTTCATTTTGTCTCTGCTACATTACTCAGTTAAAAGTTAGGCGCTGTATCACCACCAGATGTGTCCTCTGGTTGCATCCTCTGGATATGAAAGAAAAGTACTAGCTGCATTCTTTCTTTTGTAAAAAAAACTTCACACTCTTTACACTTTATAAGTAAAGAATTGGGCATTTTCAAAAATGTAATGGATAAGAAATAAAATATACATTTATATGAAATATACCAAAGTGAAAATAGGAAATAAAACCTGAGCACTTTCATGTGCTTACATGCACATCTTCTGAAGGTGAGTGTGTAAGCACATGAAAGTGCTCAGGTTTTATTACCCATTTTCACTGTTATTTTTTCATATTTACAATTGCATGTTTTATTGTGATTTCTTCCGTACAGTGTATATGTACAGTATGTATACATGTTCAATGCACTGTATTGTAAATGTATAAATATGCACTATTGTTGAAGTGTCCTTCAGTTTATGAGATCCATGCATTCCAGGCCCATGGCAGCTGTACTAAGCTCACTTCAGTGAGGTCAGTGTATGCAGTCTCATTGGTTGCATACAGTGAGTGTATAGTGTACCTGTATACATTTATACTATGTAAATGTGCTATACAGTACATATATGGTTGTTAGGGAAACAATTGAAAAATACTTATCTGATTAATAGAAAGGTAAAAAATTTATATTTAAAAAGTAAAATTGTGTACAGTATTGAATTTTTATATAATACAGTAGTCCCCCCATATCCATGGGGATACATTCCAAGACCTACTGTAAATGCCCAAAACTGCAGATAGTGGCAAACTATGATAGTTTTATTGATAAATTATGCACAATAAGTTGAGAATTAGGACTTTCACTGATGGGAAGCATCACTACTTTTGCTCTTTGGGGGCCATTATTAAGCAAAGTTAAGGGTTATTTTTTGCCACAGTAAACTGCAGATAACTGAAACTGTGGAAACTGAATCCACTGATATGGGGGTTCTACTGTATGTATATAAAAAATGAATGGAAAAAAAGAGGTGGGTGGGGGGTCATACAGTTAATCTTCTGATAGTATAGTAAAACTTTGTTAATTATGGGGAATATGTCCTCAAAGCCAACTTAGTAATGTAGCAAAAAAAAAAATAGTTTAAATATTCTAAACCTATAATGATGAGGCAAAGTTGTCCAGATAGCCGTAGCGCATATGATGTAATGCATTGATGACTTGTTAAAGTCATATTATTCGGGCCTTGATGCATAAGAGTTGACACCAAACAAAGACAACAAGCTCACTTTTTCAACCAACTTTCTCCTGCTCACCTTCCCTGCTATTCTTGTGCTTAGAAGACATGATAGTTGAGCAATAACCAAGGATAACACAGTAATTTATGTACAACTTTACACCTAAAGCAGTTAAATCCTTGTGTGTGGAACAAAATAATGTATCCACTATAGCAAATTAAAACAAGGCCAGGTCATCAGAGAGCAGTCTATTGCTCTGGGGTTTATATTGCAGGCATGGAGAAATATACAATGTGGCTGGTTTTTCCTAAATTGTTAAAATTTCATGTGAAAAAATATAAAATACACCACTACGGTACTTTATTAATATAGTGCATAACTGGCTACCCTCAGGACCTATGATCTGTGAAAAGTTTAAACATTTTGGGTCCAGTTTCTGTGAGGGCTTGAATTGCAGTTAAATACTGTATGTGGCTAATAATAAGGTTGTGCTGTACTTAAACTAAAATTCTACAGCACTTTTGTGACAAGAGTACTCACAGTCTTAATTGTCAGATGGGACAAGAAGAACCACACTTGGAAAGTTGCTGAGAAGTTGAAGCCACTGACAGTTGAGCTGGACTGGAAGAAAAATGGATCAACACTCTTCCGTTCTGTGAGCTTCGCTGGATATGTTGGTGTGCTGACAGCTGTGAAGCAGGTACTGTGTGGCTAAACATGTAATACTGCTTGCTACTGATAACTTCTAGTGAATGAACAAAACACTTTTACTAACACTATTAACCCTTTGACTGTTTCGGTTGTATGTATACATCTTATGAGCCAGTGTTTTTGACGTATTTATACTCCAAAATTCTAGCTGCTTCAAATCAAGTGGGAGAAAGCTGGTAGGCCTACATATGAGAGAATGGGTCTGTGTGGTCAGTGTGCGCAGTATAAAAAAAAATCCTGCAGCATGCAGTGCAGAATGAGAGAAAAAAAAATTCTATGTTTTTGGATTAAAACGCCGACTTTGTGGTGTATTTTCATATAGTATTCTCGTTTTCATGGTCTTACTTGATAGAATGGAAGACATTACAGAAATGGAGATGATTTTGATTAGTTTCACGATAAAAGGGCCTTGAAATTAAGTTCAAAGTAGCAGAAATGTTTGATTTTTCCTGATGTTCAAGAGTATACAAATGACATCATTGTCCAGTTAGCCATTCTAATACACAGTCACAAATGGGTTG